TCCACCCTCCTCCACCCTCAGACCACCACCATCCACCCTCCTCCACCATCACCACCCACTCTCCACCATTACCTACCATCATCACCCTTCATATGTTCTCCACATCCCCCACCCATCCGGTAACATTTACCGTTCTCCAGCCCGCATCCTGTGTCCCTTCATCCACAATTTCTGTTCTACCACCCACTGTCTTCCACCACTGTCATCCAACTACTTCCAGCCCCAAATATGTCCCACCACCCAAAATCTGCTTGGTGTATACCCATAAAGCTGCACTCATTCGGGACTCCCCATCCCCATTTATATCTGTCCTAGCCCTGGGCATATATTTCTCATTTTTTGGAATGGAACCATGTGACTGGGTTTTCTTCCACCTGAAGGGGTAGCTCTGCATGGTGCAGGACAACAGGATGACAGATACCAGCCTCAGGCCGGGGAGGCCCTTCTTCTGCAAAGCCTGTTGGTCGGAAGGGAGCATTCTTCCTGTTGCACCAAAAGTTCCTTTTACCTTGTGCCTCCTGTGGTGGGAGCCACCATGAGCATGCTGCCCCTCCCTGCATTCCTAGTCCAGCAAAGATGGGTGGTGCTGCTGTTGACCCATTCATCCCTGGGTGGAGGTCTGGGCTGTTTCCAGTTTTTAGTGATTGTGAATAAAGCTGCCAGGAATATTCTTCTGCATCTTTATATTGACACATGTTTTCATTTCTCTTAGAAGAGACCTGAGAGGCAGATTGCTGGGGTGTATTGAAAGAGGGCAGAATTTGCCACTCTAAAATATGCACTTTGGCATAAGGTTTAATTTGAGCTGAAGGCAGTTGAGAATAAGCAGACACAAGAAGAGATCTCCAGCCTGCCCGAAAAGCAGGACATGAATTTGTGCAGAAGTTAATCACCAAGACAACTCTAGGGCCCTCTTAGGCTGGAGGTGACACTGGAGGGGTCTACATGACCCACCTCTGTCTGCCACTGGCCCCTTCCTGCAGGTTGTGCCCTGAAGTCCAGTGGCCTTTCCTCGGTCTGTCTCTTCTCTGAAAATTTGTTGTTGTTTTAGGTTAAGATGCTGCAGAAGTGCAAGTTCTTGCTCACTGCTGAGTTTCTCCCCGGGTGTGTTTGAGCCATGTTAATAAGCTTCCCTTTGTTTTTCTCTTATTAACCCTTCTAATGTTGCAGAGCGTGAGAGAACCTAGAAGGAGTGGGAGAAAAAAGGTTTTCCCTCGCCTATTGTGTGTGTTTACCTCTGTTGGAGACTGCCAAGCCCTTCTCCCGTATGCCTGCGCCATCTTGAGTCTTCCCAGCCGCGTGAGAGTCCCAGGTGCCACACAGACTCTCAGCGCTCAGAATTGCCCGTTTTTATTTTTAACCCATTTATGCCATCCTGATGTGTGTGTAGTAGTATCTCATTGTGGTTTTTATTGCATTTTCTGATGAAGAATGAGGCTGGGCATGTTTTCATGTGTTTATTGTCTGTATCTCTTCTTTGGTAAATTGTTCAAATCTTTTGCCCTTTTAATTGGGTTGTTTTATTATCGAGTTTTAAAAGTTTTTTGTGTATTCTTGATACAAGTTCTCCATGAGATACTTGTTTTACAAATATTTTCTTTGTCTTTTTTCTTTTCATTTTCTTACCAGAGTCTCTCAAAGCCCAGAAGTCTTTAATTTTGATGAAGTTCAGTTTGTCAGAATTCTTTTACAGTTTGTATTTTTGGTGTCATAACTAAGAAATCTTTGCCTACTCTAGGGTGTGGAGATTTCCTTTTTTTTTTTAGAAAGCTTATGGTTTTAGCTCCTATGTTTAGATCTATTTCGGGTAAATTGTACATCTGACACACAAAGTTCATTTTTCTCCTTGTAAACGTCCAGTTGTACCAGCATCATTTATTGAAAAACTATCCTTTCTCCATTGAATTACCTTGGTGCCTTCTTGAAAATCACCCAAGTTTATGTGTATGAGCCTATTTCTGGCTTCTCTAGGCTGTTCCATTGATCTGTACCCCTTTCCTTGCTCCGATACCCATGGTCTTGGTGCCTGTGGCCTTAGCCAGTCTCAAGTCAGCGGTGTGATCATGCCAACTCTGTTCTTTTCCAAACTTGTTTTGCTAGTCTAGGCCCTTTGAATTGTCACTTATATTTTTTAATCAGCTTCTCAATTTCCAAAGCCACTGAGATTGCATAAGTGTATAGATTAATTTGGGGGAGAAGTAACATCTTAACAAAATGGAGTCTTCAGACCCTCCAGTAGGGCACATACTTGGTCTTCCTTAATCTCTCTCATCAGTGTTTGTGATATGTTTTCAGCATACGCATCTTGCGTGTATGTGTGTGTGTGTGTATTTAAATTTATCCATCTGTATTTTATGTTTTTGATGGAGTAAACGAAGATTTCTTCGGTAGCACACCAGAGGCACAAGCCGTCAAAGCATCATTTTGTGAATGGTCCTGTGTTTTGTTTTGTTTTGTTTTGTTTTTTAATTTCAGTCCTTATTCTCATTGCTTGTATGCACAAATGCAACTTATTTTTATGTATGGACTTTATATTCTGTGGTCCTGCTGAACACGCCTGTTCTAGCTTTTCTTGTAGGTTTTCCTATAGCTTCTGTGAATAAGACTTTCTTTCTTCCTTTCCAGTGTGTGTGCTCTGTTTCTTTTCCTTGCCTCCAGGCCCTAGCTAGGACGCCAGGTTGGATGGAGTGAGTCATAGGAACAAGCATCTCTTCCACAGGCTTGCCTCAGGAAGCATCTGTCTGTCCCTCATTAGGCCTCACCTTAGCCACCCTTCTTGCAGGTTTCACCCTAGTCCCCTGTACCTGAATCCCCACGTCACCTGCCCTCTGTTGTGCTCCTTGCCATATGCTGTCTTCTGAACAGACCTTGAAGGCTTGGGGTTTTTAATGTGTGAAGGCAGCACCACCTCTGTCCAAATGAGACAGTGAGGCCCAGAGTGGTCTAGTGATCTTTTGATGTCTCTCAGATAGATTGGGACACATTTAAGTAGATATTATAGTTCATAGGCCAGGTATTCTCTCCAAACAGCGTTTAGAAGCACGATGTGTTTAAAAAGTACACATTTGTATACTAAGTAATGATGTATAAATTGTGGGATTCATATAAGCATTAAATATGCAATTCTTCGTATTTCAGCTAAAGCTCATAAAAACATTGCAATGACTTAACATCTCAGATCTCACATGTAATCCTCTTATCCAGCCGAACTAGTCACAGTCTGAAGATTTCTTTATCTTTTTTAGGTGAAATATATTGCTCAATTCAATTCCAATAATTTTTTTTCATGTGGCTTTATTCCCTGGAGACTTAGAAACCACATTCCCACTGAGGGGGATGGAGTTTGCAGGAGCTGCCAAGAGAGGAAGGGTAGTCTCCCCTCCTGCTGGGGGTGTGCTGGGGGATGGTGAGAGGTGGTGGGGAGGCCAGGTGTTGGGGGCGGGGAGGACTGAGGCAGGGAAGGAGCAGGGGTCCCGAGGGAGCCATCCTGCCCTGTAACTTGGTGATGCTGGAGGAAGTCCCACATGGCCTGTAATTTGGGCTGCTCTCCGCATTTCTTTGGAGTATCGTCTGCGGACTTTGCCCACTATGTGTCTCTGCACCTGCCTCTCTTGCTCTCCACCCCCTCCCTTTGTGCCCCCCTGCCAACTGCGAGCAATAGCTTTAACGCGTCCTGCAGTCTGTGGCTACACAGGATCTGGCTCCAGACGGCTCTTGGAGGTGAGAGCTGAAGCAGCGGGTCCAGGTGGGCAGTGGCATGGACGCTGGGGGTGCTGATGTGCTGTATCCACTTCAGGGGCTACATAAGTACTGGCCTTGCCGATGAGCCCTGGTGGGGTGACCCAGGGTCTTTCCCAAGGCTGTTTTGTGTCTGGGAAGTGCGAGGTTCCTTCCCTTTGAGAATATGAAGTGATGGTTCCACTGGCAGGGTGACGGGGGCTGACGGCAGTGACGGCAGGGAGTCAGTTGTCCCGACTCCCCAGGCCCCAGCCCTCTGCCCGTGGAATGGCTTTTCTGTACGTGTGTTGCCTTCCAAACCCCATCTCTGCCCTGTGGGTAGGTCTCACGGGGTCTGGAGTCCAGGGCAGGGTCGGCCGGCCGAGTTCTCAGAACGAGGTTGAAAGCCGTCAGGGAGGAAACCTTTTTCTCTACCCACCGACGTTCTCCGGCAGGGCCTATAACATTGGAAGAGAGGAACAGTTCCTTAACGCCTGCAGCTTATGTCAGGCAGGAGACGTCTCCCTGACGAGGCCCTCAAAGAGCTGGCTGGACTTGTGCAGGGGAGGGGTCCACACCTGGGAAAGCGACCGGACAAGGGGAGAGGCTTTAGGCTTCCCAGGGTGGCAGGCTGTGGGGAGGCAAGCACGTGGGGCTGAGTGGAGTCAGGTTTGTTGGTGCAGGACCATCTTGGGCCCCTGTTTGACTTTACCGGAACACCTCCCGGGAGAGGCTCCGCGGCAGCCCTCACTCCTCACAAGTTTGTGTGGGTAGCTCTGGGAGGGCCTCTTTCTGCACCTGCTAGTTCTCATTTGCTGCCAGCTCAAAGTGGCCTATTTTGGGGTGTCCTATGCTGAGCTTCCCAAGGACCCAACAGAAGGACAGGCTTTTCTTCTCCTAAAACCTCGTATGGAGAAGCAGAATGGTGGCAGCCCCAGCCAGGTCTCACGAGAGGCCTTGCTGATGCAACATTGCCCGTATTGATCTTACTGGAGGGAAGACAGCGTGGTGTTAGCTGTTGACCCAATTATCTGTTCTGGAGTCTACTGTTGGAGAAAATTGGCACTGATCATGGAGAGAGTTCCACTTGTTGTTTGGGGGATTTCTTCCCTCTTGTGACGCTTTTCCTCTGTCTGTGTTGTAGGGAAGGTGGCCATTCAGAAGGAAGACTTGCCGAAGTATCATAACAGGGACACTTGGTTCCAGCTGCAGCACGTGGACGCCGACTCAGAAGTGCAGGTGAGGCCTCTGTGGGGCACGTGGGAGGGGAGGGGACTTTGGTCTTAACGGGCTGGTGGTAGCAAGTGACGTCCTCTTATAGTGAATATAGGCATGTTAGCCTTGTTTATTGTCACAGTTTGTCATGTGTGATTGAAACAGCTTTAAAAGTATAAAATTTGAAAGGACAATAATTGCACATAATTGAAGTAAAGAGAAAAATACGGGCAGACAGAAGTAAAGCTTGGGGCCGGAGCCATGCATGGAGCCTCACGCTGTAGGTCCAGTTGCCAGAGGGGCCTGCGGGCATTTTCAGCTCCTGCACATAACAGACAAGGGTTTGGAGTCAAGAGAAGTGACCAGTTACTGAGTTTCCCATCGTCTGAAGCATCCCCAGGGCTCCCCTGGCTCCCCTGGGCCGTGTGTCACCTGGGACTGACCCCCCCCGTCCAGCAGAAGGGGCTTCCCCCTGGCAGAGGAGACTGTGGGACCCCAGTTCCCACCCTCCCTTTCCCGTGATGGGGGCACTGCCCATGCCAAGCTTCTGGAACAACACCCTTTGGGAGGGCAGCCCTGCTTGTGTGGTTCCAGCTGAACTTCTCACCCCGCGCTGGCATCTGGAGTCCATGATGGGGAACCCTGACCCACAGCACAGTGCCCTGACGTTGCATGAGCATTTTCATCATGGTCCCGTGAGTTGCCAGGGCGTGGCCAGGGTGTGTGACCCAGCATAGAGTCTGGCAAGCCAGGCTCAGAATGCCTAACCCAGCAAGCCTGCTTCCTCCTCTATGAATACCAGACAGTGCTTGATGCAGCAGAATCCCCGATGCAGGTGGCCGGGGAGGCCTTCCCCCACCCCTCCTGGCGCACCCACCCCCACACACCTGTCTAGCTGCTTGCTCTCTGCTTCCTTGTAGACCCTCGGGCTCAGCGGAGCTCTGAGGAGAAGGCAGAGCACGTGGGGTTTCTGGGATCAATCCACAGACTTGGAGAAAGAAGCAGTGGGAGGGAAGGGTTGAGGAGCTGAGCCAAAGAGACATTGTCACGTGCCTCACACTTAATTCTGGCCAAGGGGCCCATGTGTGCTGCAGAAATTAGCAGACACAGCAACTCCTGCAGGATATGTGTCTGCCCGGAGGTGCAGTGATGATGAGTGCTGGCACCAGGAACGCACGGCCAGCTGCTCCTGCTCAGGCCACTCGGAAACCTGTCTGCAGGAGGAGGGCGGCAGGGGCCGTGTGCACTGTGACAGGAGGCGTTCCTGCGTTTGTTCTGGTGATTTCCCCGTCCCTTTTGCTCCGCAGGGGGACAGCCTGTGGCGCTGTGATGAGAATGCGCCCGCAAGCAGCCCGCCACAGTGTGTCTTTACCACGCTCTTCACACTGTCTCCTCTGACCAGAGTTTGATGTCACTGTCGAGTGTAGCTTGTCTTTCTTCTCACCTTGTTTGTAAATGTAACTTTTAATTTTGAAATGGCTTCAGATTCATCGGAAGTCACAAAAAATAGTACACAGGGAATAATGATGAGCAAACCGTGTACTCTCCTATTTAGACTTAACAACAGAACACGGTGAGGAAAGGCCGTGTTCCTTCACATTGTTCTCCTCGTGGCAGCATCCTGCCCACTGGTCATGGCCGGCACACGGACATCCCTGCAATCCACAGACCTCGTTCAGAGCTCACCAGTTTAACGTTTTCACACCTGTGAATCACATGTGTGCACCAGTGCATATGCATCACATGCATGCATCTGTGCGTGTATATCACGTGTGCACCTTTGCGTATATATCACGTGGGCACCTGTGCGTGTATATCACATGCGTGCACCTGTGCGTATCACACGCATGCACCTGTGTATCACACGTGTGCGCGTGTGTATATCACACGCATGCACCTGTGCATATATATCACACGTGTGCACCTATGCGCATGTATCACATGTGTGCACCTGTGTGTATCACACGTGTGCACCTATGTGTATCACACGTGTGCACCTGTGCATCACACGTGTGTGCCTGTGTATCACACGTGTGCACACGTGTATCCTGTGCATTTTGTCACGTGTGTGGGTTTGTGTGACCACCACCACAGTCAAGATTCAGAACCACTCCCGTCGCCATAAAACTCATAAATGTGGGTGTGTGTTGATCGTACACTGTATAGAATATTTGGGCTATGTCCTACTGATGTGTTTCGCGTGCTTGTGGACGAGGTCCTTGCCCTTCTGAGCCTGATTCCTGCCATCTTTGAGATGGGATGCTGCCTCTAGCTGGGTCAGTTTCCTGGGAATCTGAATCATGAATCATGAACAGAGAATGGGTGTTGTCAGGCCCATTGAAGACAGGAAGAAGGACGGTGTACGGATCGCCTGCCGAGTTCCCTGTGCTGGTGTTCCTTCTCAGAGTGCGTACTAAGGAAGTGCAGAGCTCCCCTAGATTCAAACTGCCTTTAGAAGTGCGTTACAGTCTTTCCCTACAGCCATCTTTTTGTTCCAAAATGTCACATTCACGGTTTTAGAAGGGCAGAGGATGGCATATGTTTTCTTGAATCCATCTGTTCTATAATTTGGAGTAAAAGGCATGTGTCAGAAAGAAAGTGTCACAAAACGGGCCAATGAGAGATCGAGTCACAGCAGTGAGGGAAAAGGTGATTTAAAAAATTTCTTCTTCCTTCTGGAATTGATATTTTTAAAGGTCTCTGGAAAATCACTTTATTTAAAAAGAATTAGTTGCTGTGTTCCTTCCCTGACCCTGTGTGGGTAGTATGAGAACGAAGCGGTTGGCAGGGAGGGGTCCTTCCTGGTATCGAAATGGGGAGGGAGACGTTCCCCTCGCCATACCGGAGCGGGCTCAGGGGTCCTTCCCCGGCCCCTCCAAGGATGCCCAGCTGAGCTCTTCTGGTTTAGTAGACCTGCTGTGAAGGTCCGTGAGCTCTGACACCAAACCTTTAGTAGCAGGATGGAAGCTCTGGAATTGCGTCCGTCTGTGTGTCAGACAGTCCTACTGGGAGGGTTCCCAGTAGGTTGCGTCTGCAGTTGTCGGCATACAAGGACCCAGCTCTGAATCTTTCTGTGGATTTAGGGGATCAGGGAAGGGAAGGGCCGGCTGGACCTCTGTCCTCCTCCATGCATCATTTCTGGACTATTCTCTCATCTTCTGTTTTCAAATTAGTCTTACTGCTCCTGGTGCCAAGGTCCAAGTGCTCGGTGGCCTGGGTCCCTGTGCGCTGACCCCCACCCTGGCCCCGAGGTCCATGCAGACCAGGGCTCTACGGGACAGGGAGGGTGTGCTCTGGGGCTGTGGCCACAAGACTGTGGCCGGGGCCCTCTCCGCAGGCCAGGATCTGACACTTTCCTGAGAAAAATGTTTGGGAGCCACTGGTGCTTTTTTCTTTTTAAATTAGTAAACCTTTTTCAAACAATTTTATATTTGCAGAAAAATGAACAGAAAATAGAAGGAATTCCCATGTCCTTGCCCCACCTGGCCCCTGTGGTTAATATCCCACGGTGCTTTTGTTACAGTTGGTGAGCCGACGTGGCTCAAAGGCTGTGCACTCCGCTGGCTGGACAGAAGGTGGTGTCGGGGAGCCTTGCTTGCAGAGTCCCACAGGATGGCCTCATGGGATCGCCGGTGACGGCCCCTCTCTCGTTCCTTATTAGTTTCTTAGTTAGCTTGACTAGAGGTTTAATTAATTTTATTGATTTCTGTTCTGATTCTGTTATTTCTTTTTTTCTGCTCACTTTGGATTTAATTTGATCTTTTTCTTCTAGATTCCTTACATTATTGAGGTTAGATCTCTTGAATGTGTGTGGTCGCTGCTATAGATTTCCCCATAAACACTGCTTTCGCTGCATCCCACATGTTGTGATAAGTTTTATTTTCATTTTCATTTATGAAAAGAAATGAATTAAAAATATCTCTCAGTTTCTCTTGAGACTTTTTTTTGGGCCTATTTGTTATTTAGAGGTATGTTGGTTAATCTCCAAATATTTGGGGATTATTAAGCTCTCTTTCTGCTCTTGATTTCCAGTTTCATTTCCGTTCTTCTGAGAGCAGATGCTGTGCTATTTGTGGCCCAGGACGGCCGTGCTGGTGCGCCCTCCGAGCAGAGACCTCTTTCTCTGCAGCTGGATGGGGAGTTCACAGGTGGCAGCGGGAGCCAGGGGTCAGGGCGCTGCTCAGACTTCTCATCATTCACCTTAAATAAAAATGGGGAAAACTATCAAATCAGCATTTTTAATGCACCATCCTAAGACTTTTTTCTTCTTACAGAAGCAGGGACGCTTGGCTGAGTCTTGGCCCCAGCCTGGGCTCTGGGTGCCGCCCCCGGAGCCCCACCCTCCCCTACTGCCCTCAGCTCAGCATGTGGGGCCCGGGACTGTTGAGGTCAAAACAAGCCCAGGGTCAGATTCTTCGAGGGCAGAGTGGAGTTCAGCGGGTGTCAAATGCTGTGCAGAGGCCGAGCTGGAAAACCGGCATTTCCTGCCGGCCCTGCGGTGGAGGGTGTGGCCCCGTC